TCTGAGCTCGATGAAGAACCCGTTTCGGCTGTGAGACCGTTTGCCAACGGGCTTCTCTCCGAATTGCACATGGTTCTGGAACATCATAATCTTTGTTTGCTAATGCATGAATGGGCCTTGTGGCACGGTTTCCCCCAGTCTCCAGACATCATGGCGTGGAGAGTCGATGCTGGTACCCCAACTACGATATCGGGAAATGTTGTCCGCTTTTAGCACCAATTCCTTTGTAGGGTTACAATGTATTGCCTCCCATTGGTTGAGATCAATTTCATGCCTCTCGAGTCTTGGAGGGCTAGTGGCTTGGCCTAGAATTGGAGAAGCCACAAGATTGAAAGCCGCGGAATGATTTTCCCAAAATAGGCAACCCACCATGATCCCGACACTTTAGCTCCAACGCCTTGGCCTTCCCCAGATAATTTCCCCGCGGGGAACGAAAGTGTTTCTTGATTTGTTGCTTTCTATGACTCGAAGCTACGATGGCGGTCTTTTCTGAACCAGTTGGCTATATAACATCATCATGCCCTCCGCTGTTCTTGTAACTCGTCTTTCTTCTCACCACCGCATCAATCATACCCTTGTCTTTGACCAGCCTCATTACTCGACATCACTGGATCCAGAGCTCGCACAATGTCTACTGACAGCCCTTCTCCTAGTGGGTATCCTCCCAAGGATCACCCACAAGTTGAGAACATCGAAGATCCCGCTGCTTCATCAAACAATTCTCCTATTGTCTTTCTAGATGAGGAGATCTCCTACGGCAAAGGCGGCATTCGTGGCGTCGTTCAATCGCCATACATCTTCGGTGCTGCCTTCTTAGCGTCCATGGGAGGCTTTTCATTTGGCTACGACCAAGGAGTCATCTCAATCGTCAACGTGATGAGCCAGTTTCATGAGGCATTCCCCCGCACTGAAACTGCATTTGGGAAAGGCTTCATGACTGGCATGCTGGAACTTGGAGCTTTTATCGGATGTCTCTTCATGCCTACACTCGCTGATAAGATCTCACGCAAAAAGGCTCTTTCGATCGTTGTCGTCATCTTCAACATTGGCGCTATCATGCAAACTGCGGCTAACTCCTATGGCCTTCTGGTAGCTGGAAGAACTATAGGTGGTATTGGCGTCGGAACACTGGCAATGGTATGTAGATATCGTTTTTGTTCTTCTGGGCCGGCTAACAGAATAGGGTGCTCCAATCTACATCTCCGAAATCGCACCGCCAAACCTGAGAGGAACCCTACTTGTCCTCGAGTCTGTCTCATGTGTTCTCGGCGTCGTTGTATCCTTCTGGATCACATATGCGACCCGCCATCTCCCTGGCGACCTCTCTTTTCGACTGCCATTTGGCCTTCAGATGGTCTGCAGCACTATCCTCGGCATCGGCATTCACTTCTTTCCCTACTCGCCACGATGGCTTGCTCTCGTCGACCGATCGGACGATGCGCTGCAGAGCTTAGAAAAGCTCCGCCGACTCCCCAGAACCGACCCTCGAGTTGAGAAAGAACATATCGGCATCCTCAATGAAGTGGCACTGCAAAAGATCATGCAAGAGAAGCGGCACCCAGGCGTCAGCGGCCTAAAGCTTGAGATTCTTGGCTGGAAAGACCTTTTCCAGAAGAAGTCCTGGCATCGAACTTCCATCGCTGTCGGAGTAGCCTTCTTTCAGCAGCTTTCGGGCATCAACGCATTCATCTACTATGCCCCTACGCTCTTCCAGTCCCTAGGCCAATCATCTGAAATGTCTCTGATCATGTCTGGTGTCTTCAATATGTTGCAGCTTGTCGCGGTAACTGTGTGCTTTTTCATCATCGATAAGGTTGGACGACGGCCACTGGCTATCTGGGGCGGCATTGGAGGAGGTACAGCATGGGGCATTATGGCAGTTTTGGTAGGCATATTCAACGACAAGTGGAGCTCCAATTCATCCGCAGGCTGGGCTGCCGTGGCAATGGCCTTTTGCTTCATCCTCATCTACGGAGTCTCCTATGCTCCATTGGGCTGGGCTCTTCCTGCTGAGGTCTTCCCCAATGCGTCTAGGTCCAAGGGAGTAGCCCTCGCTACAGCCACGGTATGGCTCTTCAACTTTATCGTCGGCGTTGCAACACCTCCCATGATTGAGAGCATCGGATTCGGTGTTTATATCTTTTTCGGGTCCTGGTGTTTCCTCGCGGCTGTTTGGGCGTTCTTCCTGGTCCCAGAGACCAAGGGGAAGACATTGGAGCAGATGGACGAGATCTTCGGTGACCATGCAGGTCAGGAGGAGTTGGAGATCATGCAATCCAGGATGGGTATCGCCGGGTATGGGCTGAAGAAGGATGTGGTGCAGGTCTGAAGAGCCCCCGAGTCCGCTGAGGTGATCAGTACGTACCTGGAAACGTTAGTGCATTTGGGTAGAGGCTCAACGCGAGCTACCCTCCACCTCTGGGGTTTTGCAAGACAGATGATCTATGAATATATTGACTATTGCAATTTCGCCATTTCTTCTACTTATGCCACTTCAATATCTTCGTACATGGACTGGCTGTAGTATGTCTTAACCTCCGTCATTGCGTTTCACAAGTGACAAGCCCCTCAGACAATGGCTTTACAGATTCTCCGATCTACTCATTGCTATTTCCGACCTTCTTAATCCTTACCATGACAGGCCTGCCCTTACTAGGATGTGCAGTCAGCTCTCCAGGCATTTGTGCCTGATAAGCTTGATATCCCAGCAACACTTCATCCTTTTCCTTATATGCAGGCACAATGTCAAGCTCCCTGACAGTCATGGCAAGGAGAAGTCTCAACTCTGTTAAAGCCAATTCCTGGCCAATGCACCCCCGAGGACCTAGCTCAAATGGTCGAAACGCATTTTTGTGAGCCACAGGATAAAGCCACCTTTCTGGGATAAACTTATCGGGTTCAGACCAGAACTTGGGATTTCTATGGATGGCCTTGCTTGCTGAAAAGAGGATGAAGCCGTCTGTTGGAAGCTGCTGTCCTGTCTCAGGATGTCCCAGGAAGAATGTCGGAGAGCCCTCTCGGCAAGATCCAATTGGCGGCTCTAATCTCAAAGTCTCTTTTATGATTGCAGTGGTATAAGAAAGCTGGTTGAGCAATGTCGGGGTTTCGGATATCCGTCTGGTTGCATCAGACGGGTCAGTCCCCAAGACCGCATCGTGTTCCAGCTGCAACTTGGCGAGGGCATCAGGATGTTGGTAAAGATAATTGTAAGCAAAGCAAAGCGTGGATGCAGTGGTGTCATGGCCAGCGAAGAGGAAGATCTTCAGATTCTCAATGGTGACATCCAGAAATTCTGGGTCAATAGTGCCACCCGACGTGCCTTCGAGGCCATATTCCTTCATGTACGTTCTGATGGCGAGGCCATTTACGGTCTTTGGCCCCTCTTGTCGTTCGTGATTTTGAACTTGAGCCTCTATCAATGGCTGGAGCTGACTGTGAAGTTGACGGTTTAGAGACGAGAGGCGAGAGTGACGGAAAGGATTCAGAAGTCTCCCCCATTGTGGTGGCGACCAGTCTGTGACAAGCAGTGAGATTGCGCTTTTCAGTGTCGGGAAAATCTTGTCGTCAACGCCTGTTTGAATGCCTAGACTTATACCCAAGACAGAACGACCGATGATATCGCAAGTAGCCTTCATAACACAATCTTCAAGAGGGACAACACGTCCATCTTTAGCGATCTTTTGCAGGTATTTCTTCCAAACCAATGCCTCTTCAATGAACTCGGGAACAAGGGCCGTGATGTTTTGTGTCGAAAAGCCAGGATTGAAAGCGGCTCGCCATTTCTTCCAAAACGCTCCTTCGGACAGAACAAGGTCTTTTAATCCCGTCAAGGGACGAAATTGACCTCTGATAATTTCATGCTTCGGTCGCGACGTTTCTTGAGTAAACTGCGCCGCGATGTCAGGGTGAAAGGTCGCCAACATGGGCCATGAGATGGGCCACAGATCGATGTAGCATATGCCCAGCTCCGCAAGTTCAGGGTAGTCTCGAGCAAGAAAGTCTGGCATCAATTGGCCGTGGACATCTTGGGGATACTTGGCCATGATTTTGCCCACGGCGATGAGGTTGCCGAGAAGCCATGAGTGGCCTGGTAGCGTTGGCTGTATGAATTAACGATGAACTCGAGACCTAGGTACATGATTGATCGATTGATTACTCACAAGGTTGTACTTTTTGACCGTTCGCCGAAAAAAGACCCGCTGCTGGTAAAGCTTGAAGGCAAAGTACAGGATGGCCGTGAGGACGAAGATGCCGCCCCATTTCAGCATTGGAACGGTTGCAGGCATTGTTTGTCGCCCAATTCTTCTCAATGGCCATTGTCTACAAGAATTGCCATAAGGAATTTATTTAAATAAGTATAAAAGAATGCGAAAACTGCGATGGAAGCTCTTGCTGACGCTGCCCCTCTTCCTAGTGGCGGAATATCGTTTGCCCAGAATCCCAAGTCAGAGGAAGCCCATGCGGTGCAGCCTATCATTGAGCTTCTTTGGTGAACTGAACGGAATCCCGTTTACTCAATAGGCTCAAACTTTAAGCTGAATGTGCTTCCCGTGATTGGAGAGGCTAATTGAGATTGAGCGATGCTGTGTAGGATGTGCTTGCCATTGAGTTCTATAGAGACTGCAGACTCTGCCCAAAGCTAGCATAAGATACAGTGGTAATCTTCCATAGAATTGGGGCATTGCAGAGCGGAGAAATGCCAGAGCTCTTCGATCTCGTCGCTATAGGTTCTAAATCATCTGAAGCTATCATTAATAAGCGACCGTGGTGTAGTGGTTAGCATTAACGCCTTCCAAGCGTTAGAGAGGGGTTCGATTCCCCTCGGTCGCAATGGTCCAAACATGCCTCAAATAGGATGTTACTTTTTGACCGATTACTGCTTCAAACTCTCAAATGTCCTCTTTTTAGGGAAAAGAATTAAGCGATATTAAGAAATTAGAATTAGAGTAAAGATGGTATGCTAAAGAATGCTGTTAATATTTTCCTCCTTACATCTCTAATTATCCTTCCAACTCAGCCCTGAACTCATATGTCCGTTCCCCTGGCCGTTCATCATTTGGAAAACACCTGATTTTAGTGTCCCTCTTCTCCACCTTGTCCACTGGAACCTTCTTCGTAGCGCCCGCGATAGCAGAGAATGTCATCACGCGTTGTGCGTTGTTTCCGTCGCTTGACATGGCATCAATGCCGTAGTACACACCAATCGATGCCACAACGAATGACACAGAGTAAACAGCGACAAGGACAGGCCAACCGTAGTCAAAGAAGTTGGCTTTGCGTCGGCGTTCACATTGGTACTTGGTGTCTTCACCTCCGATGCCGGTACCAGACAGCTTGGATGGGTCGGCAGCCCATGCTACGACAAGAAGCTGGGGATCGGAAAGGAGTGAGATGATCAAGTCTTCGTACACACGCCGGACTTGTTGCTGGAAGTCGTGGACTACAAGACTCTCGTGTCTATCGAAGAGGTTGGTGGTCGTAATAGCCCCGTCTGCTACGACGGATCCCTGGACCTTGACATTGCCAAAAAGCTTCTCACGGAGTCTGAGCCCAAGGCTATGATAGGCGGCTATGCGGCGGTATCGAGCATAATCGTTACGAGGGCTGACATAATTCTTCTCTGGCTCTGCGACGTTTCCATCGGCTGTTCCATCCGTGGATTCATTGGTCCAACTGCTCCAGGTCGTATCGATAATCTTTCGCTTGTAGTCCCGACCTGTAATATTGTACTTCTGAAATCCTGAGGTGAAGTTGAATGTGACGGTGTAATTGACCTCCCAATGATCGCAAGCAAAGATAATGGGAGTGTAATCGTCGTTCCACCCATCGGCTTCACTATCCATTGCATGAGCCTTGGTGTGATCGTCCACGGCGGCATAGCCAATCCAGATTGAAGGTTCGGTTCGAAACACGCCGAGATGCTTGGGGAAGGGCGGGCCATCGACCTCGGAAGGAATTCCACCGATCGACACATTGTCCATCTGAGGACGCATGTACTCTCCGAGATCTGTGTTGGCGAAGTAAGTGAAGTTGGAGGCTGGCACAAGCTGGCTGAGGTTGAATGGCGCTTTAGCATCTCCAAAACTCTTCATCTTGGACCCGACTCCATTAGCAAGCTCTTCGCATTTATATCCGGGCCCAACAAAATGGACTGTCGTGGAACAATCCCATCCATCTCCACAGATCTCGAGCGAGATGTTCTCTTTCTGGGTTGTCTGTCCGCTTGAAAATACACCAGCTGCGATGCGATCGAGTGCAGAAGAAGGAACGTTGTAGTATTCGAAGATATCGTCATCCTCTGCGGCTCCTTCGGCAAGGTTTCCATCTGGCGCAGTCCAGTTGTAGCCAGAAAGTGAGCGACCATTCATGACTTCACCTTCGGCCTTCTTGGGAGTCTGAAAACTCTCTTTTGCTTCATTGCTGAAGTTCAAAGTTCGGATTGAGGGACAGAGTGTATCTTCTATCCTCTCGCCTGGCACGACGTAGAGTGACGCTGATGAAAGAATGACAACAAGAGGGCTGAGCCACATATATAGAGCAAGAAACATGACAAACCACGATTTGATCCATGCCTCCCTGTTAAAAAGCTCGATGATATTGTGGGTAGCTCCGAATAAGGCATCAACAGCGTGGATCGAGAATCCTTTCTGTCCTACGGCTCGCCATGCGACTTGCTGATGGGCCATAACCGCAGCAAGGATGAAGTTTGCGTTGGCGATGAATGAGATCAATTGGCCCAATCGCATCCACCATTGTTGGTGTTTGGCTTCCTGGCCATCAAGATGCATGTATAGAAAGTGATGACCGACTGCGCCAGCGACTCCAATGACCAGGCAAGCAATCATGGACCATCGACTCTTCATGATCCTCAACATCAGAGGTCCAGACTCAGGCAAGGCACCTGCGGTAGGTCGATTTACGACGTGTACATCAGGAACCTTTGAGTATGTGTCATGAACAGGCACGTGGCCCATCAGACCTCTATGACTGTCGTGAGCCCTATCGTAGTCGGGAGTATCTCGAAGATTTGGGCTCTGGGGATCTATCCATAGTGACTGGTGCGGGAACGTCTCTCGTGCGATTGACTCGGGGGAGACGGCCTGGGGAGGGAACTGACCCAAAGAAGGCTGTGGAGACACAACCGGCTCTGGGAAAGACTGTTGGTGCTGGACAGGAGAATAAGCATATAGTTTACGCTCCTGCCCATCGTTGACGATTTTACCATCCATTTTGTGTTGATTGATATCCACTCGATGAGATGGTCGCAGGTTGGGTCGAGGTTTGTCCAAGAGAACGAGAGTCCAGTCAGGAGCCGTATCCAAGGATATCTCGACGGGTAGCGCTTATATGGAACGAGAACGTGGCGAAATTGCGCTTGCCTCGCTTTCATTAAAGGGTGTCAGCTACTGCAGCTAAAGAGTAAGCTGCATATTCAATGCTTTTGGCCCCCAGGGCTCAGAGCTATCTGCGGTGAAACCTCCCAGTTGGGGAAGCCTAGCCGAGCCGTCTTCTGGGTAAAGGCCAGCCCTCGATTTCCATAATGTCCTCCTGCGAATAACAACTTGGGTATACGTCCCGATGAGACGGGTTTCCTAGGTATCGTCTGATCAGGACCCCATAAGGCTGGTGGCAGATAGCCAAATCGGTGGACACTAAGAACCTTGTGCAGGTACTTCCCACGGTGAACTGAAACGAGGCTTTGGGTGACCTATCAGAGTCGTGGCTGAAGCGAAACCCCGGCTCAAGAGCTTGTCTTTCAGGCTGCCAAGATCCTTTATTAACTAGCGAATGCACTAGCACAGCCCGGTTTGATACGACCTGAAGCTGGGGTTGTAACAGTCACTTTTAAGCTTAAATACCTAAGGCGTAGACGCGAGGTTCTTGGAGAACGGGGTCAGGAGGGACCTAGAAATAGCCTATTATCGCCGCGAACAGGGATCCAGACCATATCTTCTTTGCAAACACCAAGTCACACTTGAACTCGAGCCAAAATAAAGTTGCCTCACAAGGTTGCAGTAGGCTCGCCATCCCTCCCAGCTGTGCTTACTCCCAAGACTTCACCCATGTTCATTCTCCACCAAAGCTGGTTGCGAATCCAGTTTAGCTCCTTAGCGGAATCCGCCATATACGGCTTTGCCGAGATTGCCAACAGCTTACATGCATAGAAAACAAGGTGCTGTTTTCCCTCCTTTCAGTCGTTTTGGGAATCGCAATGCATACCACGATTGATGTGAACTGTAGGCGGGCCAATAGGGCAGATTTGTGGGCGATACAGGGTTGTACGCAGGAAAAAGAATCTGATTTGCTGGGTCGGAAGCAAGGGCTTGATTTTGGGGTAATGAAAACTCTCATCTGCATTACAACTATCAGACCATGATTAGTTTGTTGCCGATGTCTTCAGAATGTCAGGGATAGTTGCACAGACTTTAAGAGCCTACTAGAAATTTGCAGTTAGAACAACTTCAACGTACAGACTTATCGGAAGGCTACTCGAAGCATAAAAAAAAGTGCATTGGCAATATGGCCTTTAGGGTAAGATAAAGGCAATCCTGGAGTTTTAGTTGGTGAGCGCGGCGATGCCACGGTCAACTGCTCGCATCGCTAAGTACCACTCTATTGTATGTGTACTGATGCTTGGCAACAGTGAAGGCGACGAGTATTTTGCCCGTATATGTGTTCTCGGGTTTCTTTACCTTTGTGACCTGGAGGCGAAAGCCTCTTTCAAATTTTTAACCTTATCACAGTAGGTGTACTGAAGAACTTGGTGAGATATTTTAAACTAATGACAAAACTAAGGTCTTGATGGTCCATTTGCGCTCGAGACCCTTAGCTGAGCGTTGGCAATCACCACGCAGAGCTTGAACTTATCACTGATGGTTTACAAGATCCTCACCGTTCTCTTGGCACAATTTGCCATGAGTTCATCAGTATCGACGACTCCTGGAAGCTTCCCCCAATTCATGTATCTGATACGATAGAAAGAACCTAACTGATCAGTAGGCTGGTACAAAGTCAGTCCTCGAAAGCGAAACCGATATTTGTCTCCTCTATCAAGACAAAGTAAAAAATAGAAACGACCCTTTGCATCCTTGAGTGGCATTGCTAATCGCACGACCTTATGTTCCAGCCAGTGACTGAAATTTTTGAGATCTGGTTTTTCTAAATGTGAGATGAATTGATCATCGTCTGACCTCTCGTCAAGGTAGAGTTCACCACCTGTCGTTGGGTCTCCAGGAGCCATAAAATCTCCTGTGCCCAGGAACAGCCCCACAGATCGATAGACAACTTCAAACAAATAGCCGCTGAGCGTGACTGTTCCGCCCATCAGGAACCCGTCTGGCCCTGGCACACCAAGAGGCATTATCTGCTTGACAGCTAAAAAGCAAGGTTCATGAAGCAAGTCCTTGTCTGTACTGACCAGGCAGTTTCCAGCAAGAGACGCCCAGCTCCAAGACGCTGCCGTATAGGTCGCTGATCTCCGTGCTGAAGAGCTGACCTTCCACAAGAGTGCTGCTGGTAGATGACATCGCCAGAGGCCAGCAAGATAGCCTCCAGTCAGCTGGCGTGTCTGCCCGAAAGATTGAACAACGCCCGAGAATGCAACCAGACGGTCAGTTTCTCTCGTCAGATTGGTTCTCATATATGCTAAGACACTCTGGCTCCAAGCATTCATATCGTCTGAGTCTCCAGATGGTGCTGCCTCCTTGAGGGGCTGAGTTTGACTCCACCATCTTCCCCTGTTGGCTTGCGGTGTTCCGATCGGCCACATCTCGCATGCCAGCTTTTCTCTGCAATGCCACCAAAGCTGATGCGAGCCCATGACAAGTGAGCGCTTGGAAAGGTACCATTCTTGATAGACCCATGCCCGGGTGCGCAAAGTGCAATAGGTGATATCGTCCTGCAAGAGGCCATCACACACTAACTGAAAGACTTGCCCGTGAGCCTTTACACGTTGAGGCCTGAGTAGGTGAGCATAGCGGGCCACAAAACTGGTTCCTGAACTGTCAGAAGCTGTAGCAGAGCACAGGTTGAATATTGCATGCTCGTAGACCCGCTTCATGTCCTTCGCCTCTTGCATCCAGCCCAACAATGAATCCTGAATGATACACAGTGAGTCGATCCATATGTATTTAAAGTCCATTCTGAGAGACAACTGGATCGCTTCCTGATAGGTATTGGGCATGTCATGGATGCTTATGCCCAGCTGGAATTGATCAACGTTCTTTTGAAGAAGCTTGATCGCCTCAACCTTGCCCCAACAATGGGAGAATGCGATGTAATCAATGGACTCAACAGAGAAGATTTTCGGAGAAATGAGGCGAACGAGTGATTCGTCGATGATCTCAATTAGTCTTGTTGGCCTGTAATCTGGGCTGCTTCTTCGGCACTTAACATGAGTTTCGCAACAAAGTCAAGCCAGTTCTTGGCAAGTCGGATGAAGTCTGAATCTTGGGGCGAGGCACAAGGCTTGTAGGAAATGGCAAAAGAAATAGGGTCTAATAGTATTGGTTAGGAGAGTTTGATGTGTATGGATTGGACGCATACCGGGGTCTTTCCAAAGCTGAAATGCCCAGCAACAGCCAGTTGGAGCCTTCCCAATAATCAGCCCTTCTAGAGTATCCGTGGAGCCTGCATTATGCAGATTCAAAACATACTCGAAAGAGCTTGAGCGGCACTCTTCGGATCTTCGGAACCAGGTCTTGCTGTGTCGGATTGTGCCACAAATGTAACAGCCGAGGTCGGAAGCTTTTTCCAGGTCAAGGCCACTCTTATGGTGAGGCTGACTAGCGCATAGTATGTGGCTCTTCAAGGCCATGTCGCAGATGGCACAAAGTCTAGAAGGCTCCAATAGGGAGAGATAAGAAGTCATTTTGACAGGCGAGAGATTGGGTTAGTGATTCTCAGTATAATGCCTGAATGTTCTGAAAGTAGTGTTAAAGGAGCAGGATGGGAGACACAAATGAGGGGGATAGCCCAATTTATGTCCTGGTATTGTTACACTATTCATCAAAATAAGTTAGATATGCACCTTGGGATAAGTTTTCTGTTACACTAGTTACACTAGTAGGACCAGTATCAACGCTTGTCGATGTGAAGTCTTACAACATTTTCCTAGGCAAGGTAATAGTAGAACATGTTTAAAACCGATGACTACTGATCTTAGAGTTTTGAAGTTTATATCCCTAAAGCCCAGAAGGAACTAATCTATAGTATTATATTAATAATAGGCTTGCTGGTTTGAGACCGCAAACTCTTATGCTTCAGAATCTAATACCAGAGAACCTTTCTTTAGTTGCATTATGTGTGCCGCCCCTGCTCACCTGTACCGGCCATTAGGTTTGTCAATAGAGAGATCTTAGAATTCAATGATCATTAACGATTTTATCTAGAGAAAGGGCAGAATTGTGCATCGTCATTCTTTTGTTCAATTTCTTCGTTATGGCCTCTCTATAGTAGTTGCTCGTGGAGATTTTGTGCAATTATATTATTGAGCCTTTTCTTCGTTGAGCAAGAATTGGTCCAGCTGTTTGGAACAGGATACGCTCAACTCGCTTTCCGGGACTTTAGTCTTACTAGTTTCTCCAGTTGCTCCATCAGTCCACTTGACAAGAAACATCTAGGTTTCCGAGGTTGGGTCTCTTGACATGATGGACCCATTGCCTTCAATAAGGGCTTAAATGGCCTTTGAAGTACCTTATGGTTCATAAGTTAGTGTATGGTAATACGTCAAAACTCAAGTTCGGCAAACCTTCTTGACTCGACATGATGTCTGGCGTATTGGTTGGTGTAAAGATAATGGGAAACGGCGACAAATTGGCCATATATTACGCTTAAATACACAGAATAAGAAAGTATCGCATCACTGTCTATCACCTCTGATAATCACTGCCGTTTACTACAGCTTGGTAGTGAATCACAGTGACCTGTCATAAGTGCCAACGACGCCTAACATCAGTGAGTGAATCGCTTCTCAGGGTCTCAGATATTCATCACTATCAACTCTGATATGACACGCTGATCACTGTCACTGGTGCCTTCTATGAATCACTGAGGACAACATGCTACGGCTACTTGACGAGAAAAAGCCATATTCCCCTTTCAGAACGTTGACAAATACCTCTCCACCCAAACGTCACTATTCCAACGATCAGCTGTTGCTCTGACAGAACTGACCTATACGGGACTTTCTTTCTGTTGGTAAGGAGGTCCTGGATTGCTTGTTTGTTTTCTAATCATCTTCTGATTGGAAGCTGGTAACGAGCAAGCTGTTGGCTAACCTTGAGGAATTGATATGGTTCTTGATATGATTGATTGATTGATAGTTAAAGCTTATGATATCTCAACGAGATATATCAAGCCAACAATTTCTTGATATGATAATAAGAAATATTTCAAAAAGTCATAAGTAATACCTCATCAATGATAAATTGTTCATTTCATTGTCTAACTATAGCCGGTATATTTTATTGTTAGTTACTGTAGCTACCTTAGTGATCAATGTGATTCTTGCCGGTGTTGCCTGCTAAAAATGTACAATAAGTTCTTTACTGTCTTCTTTTATTACTCATGGGTGTTTATTCCCTCCTTTGTAATTACGATTAGCTCATATTAATCACAGATTATAATAGAGTTTGGCAGCTTAATAGGGAAAGTCTGAAACTCCATGATGCCAATCGAAAAATCGAATCTCGAGGAGCCGATGTGGATCTGACGCTACATCACCACGTGCCCGGGACTCACTGCATGTTACGGCCGGCGCAGTCGTTCCGGCGTCATCCAATTCATTCTTTTGCTTGTCACTATAAAGCTCAAGTTTTACATTTATGTAACAGACCTGGTCGTGAGGATCCTGACTATCTACCTACCAGCTGCTCCTTTTGGTACTTTATATATTGGATCTGTTCTATACGGCGTAAACCCGGTCACCTTTTTCTTACTGAATGCCCCGATAAACACCAGTCTTCTCGTCAATGCCCACTCGACACTTCCGTATGCGCATTCTTCTGGGTAACCTCATATATATTCTAGATCATGCAAGGTTGCTCCTGTAACCCATCTCATCATCAACCTATGTGTATAGGTTTTCCGCTTCCAGTGCTCTTCTATCCTGACCGTCATCACTTGATGCTTGCAAAAATCCCTCTTAGCGACACTTGCTTCTCATGAATCTTCTTGGGGTATTTGTGTTTACTGGTATGTCCATCTTCATCTTGGTGTGACTGTGTTGCCTTGCCAACTCTCCCCCATTCACCTCTTCAATCGTCATCTTCAGGTGATATCTTTACAGTGGACACGAATGTGACGGGCCAGCTAGGCTATGGATATATTCACTAAACTAGATCTATAGGGGCTCTAAATGATGATTATATGGCCGGCCCTTCAAGAACCAGAATTCCCGGTATCTAATTTCTCCCGCATCTGCACGCTCGCCAGTCCCCAACAACCCCCAGCCCAGGATCCTTCAGCATTTATCGAGATAAGGAAGCTTTAGAGAAAGGATTTTTTTTATAACACATCATAGAGATCCTCAGTTTCCTAACGCCCCGCTAAATGGTTTACAGTTTAGCAGGACACCAAGTAGAGTTTTTATAATTAAAAGACCAAGAGTATGACTATAGTGGGTAAATTATGAGGTCTTATGACACTTAAAAAAATTCTCTTGACGTTTTATAGAACTATAATGGCTTTCCTGTTCATCAGAAGCATTTAGGAATTCCTGATTTATGTGGGGACGTAACTTGTTGAACGCCGTCATCCGCTCGCCCCACCAGAATGTCCCCCAATGCCGGCTTTGACCAACCACGGAGATCCCCCACTGCCGAGCTGCCGCATCTCGAGGCTCAACTCGCCAGAAGTCACTTAACCAATAGTTCACTTTCAGAAATTAGATCCCACTCGGTCGTTAACTTGCTGATATCGGAATCGGCCCCACAACATCAGGTGCTACCTATATAAGGTAGCTAAGTTCCGTCGCACATTCCGTCTATTCTTGCTAACTGAAAGGAACTCTATCAAGATCTCAAAATTCAAGCATGCCACATATTAAGCAAATAATAGCCGTCAGGAGAAAGCCTGGTCTGACCAGGCAGGAATTCTTCGACTATCACTTCCAGGTCCACGGCAAACTCAGCCAAGCACCCTCTCCAGATATCACTCCATCGTACGTCGACTCATCTTTCACCAAACAACTCTAACAATTTTCTCAGAAAATATTTCCAGACCCATATTCAAGATGCAGCATATAACCATCAAGAAGGCCAAAGCGTCAACGCCAATCCTTGGTGGGCCTTTTCCGACGACATCGTTGAGCTTTACTTCGAATCTGAAGACCAAATGAAGACCATGTTCAGCTCGCAACATGTCAGAGAGAAGGTTGGTCCGGATGGCATCAACTTTTCCGACTTCGGTTCGGCATTGCCTGTGACTGTGCAGGAAAGAATTATTCCACTGAACAAGTCCGTGAATGCGTCATCTGAAGACGTTGATACCCTGTCGGGCTGCCCTGTCGCGATGTATTACGTGACTGTGACTGGCGGCGATACCGAAGATATTATTACCGGATTCGCCAATAGTTTGCAGAAGTTTGCAGGGAGCCAGGTCCGCACGCTTGTTGCGAATACTCCAGTAGAGCTGAGCCTCAACCCAGATGCTTATTTTGGGAGCAATCCCGACCGGCCCAAATTCAATTTAATCTTCTCAATTCATCTGCGCGACAAGCAAAGCGTCGGGGAGGTGAGGAAAGCCCAGAAAGAGTTTGAGGCAGCGTACGGAGCCAATATTAATCTCCCAAATTCCTGGATCGCCTTTGGTCAACGCGGTCTAGTTCTCAACCAGGAGAAAGATATCCAGGTATGTTTTTTCGTTATTTTAGAATTTGGAAGTATGCTTAATTTCAGTAGTTTGATCCATCCCGCCAGCCCAAACTGTAGGAGCACAAATACGATAGACAACATCGATGAGATTGGTTAGAAACATGAGCAGATTTGATGCTGTATATAGGTTCCTTTTTAGATTTTCCTGAGCATCCAATTAGCTGATCCCCTGTGGCTTAGTTGGCTAAAGCGTCCGACTGTTATTCATAGACAATCGGGAGATCGGAAGTTCGAGCCTTCCCGGGGGAGTTTCATCTCTCAAAATCACTTTTTGTTAGAATTCTTTTTTTCTCCCTGTTACAAATCTGTCCCTTCATTTGCCAAGACAACCATTCGTTTGGTCAGTTTTGTCTTGTTTCTCAATACGCACATATGGTGATCTAAAGGCGGGGTTCGTGTAACCTTGGTCTCGACATATTCTCAAGCCCCCGCTCGCATCGATGTCAGCATCCTTTCCGGGTTCCCTTCCTCTCATAAAAGATAACTAGAAGCTATGGAAACTCCAGCTCACCCTCACGTCATTATCGTTGGCGGTGGTATTATTGGTGCCGCAATCGCCTGGCATTTGGCTCATCACACTAGCGTGACCATCGTCGCAGAGGACGTTGGTGGAGCCGCCTCCAAGGCCTCTTTCGCTTGGCTTAATGCGAGCTCCGTCAGCAAAAGATTCTACTATGACTTTCGTCGGCGATCCCTACAGAGATGGAAACAAATCCATTCCGAGCTCCCAGAACTTCCAATTTCCTGGGGTGGATCCATCAACTGGCACAAGACTACCGAGGTCATGGCCAAGACCGAGAGTAACCTGACTGCATGGGGCTACGATATCGCCAACATGAAGAAGCCTGAAGTTTCCAACCAGGAGCCATTCTTTAATCAGTCTGCTTTGCCAGATTGGGCCCTCCACTACGCCGAGGAGGGTTCTATGGAGGCCCATGTTGTCGCACAGATGCTCATAGCAAGTGCAGAGGCCAGGGGCAACGTAAAGGTCATCAGAGCGACAGCAAAAGGGATTTTCAAGAGGAATGGCAAAGCCGCAGGAGTTGAGCTGGCATCTGACGAGAAGGTCTTTGGCGATCACATTGTCGTGGCTGCTGGCTTGGGCACTGTACCCCTCCTGGCAACTGAAGGAATCACGGTCCCTATCAACTCGGTACCAGCACTGATCGTGAACTCGAAACCCATCAAAGAAAGTTTGGTCAGGCATGTAGTTAACTCGAAATATCTATACATTCGGCAGACATCAGATGGAATCATCAAGGCGGGCTGCGAGAATCCAGGCGATGACCCAGGCGACGATCCGGAAGCAACAGCAGGTCAGGTTTTCTCCCAGGTCCAATCGACGCTGGTTGGAGGAGAGAAACTCGAGTTTGACTACTACACGGTCGGTTACAAGCCAACTCCCAGAGACGGTCTGCCAATCATTGGACCAACTGGCCTGGAAGGCGTCAGTGTCGCGGTCATGCACTCTGGTGTCACAAACGCTGCTCTGGTTGGAGAACTGCTCAGCAAGCAGATCATCACGGGCGAGGTGGATCCAGGGCTTGAGAATTTCCGTCTCGATAGATTCGACAACTAAATAGAAACCTATCGAATCAAATGCATGCCGATATATAAACCCCCCTCAAGAAGCCTGTGGCTTTCGACCATAAACCGCGCGATAGCGAAAGAAAGGATGGTTCGCAGTTGACCTAAGTTCCCGCCGGAGCTGCGCACAGTAGACCTTGACCTCTTGCATCGACCAACCCAAGAGCTGACTTGCCATATAAAGAACATATCCTTCAAAGTCCTGCTCCAGAGCAGCTAGAACATACTGGCCAATCTCCCTCATCTTCTTGTCCTTAGGCCACCCTCCGATAGCAATCTGCAAGGCAGCTGTAAGCCACTTTTCGTCAATGTCAGACTGGGTTCTTACCTTGTAGTCGGCGATCTTAATCTCCTCAAAGCCAGCCTCTCGCATACACTTCTGTTGAAGATCATCCTCAATAATGGTACATGGCTGTCCCATTTTCTTTCCCCCCTCAATAAAGAATCTTCCCCATTCATGCATAGCGCTAGTATCTGTAACTGTTCCATCATCACTCTCCATCATCGCGGAGGCCTCGTGACTTTCAACCCAACCGCCGGGCCTACATGCCCGGAAGGCTTCCTTGAACAACGCTGACCAATCTTTGATGCTGCCAAATAGATAACGCATGTGAACAAAGTCGATGGAATCCGGCGCGAATGTCCATGGCTGTGTACAATCGTCGATATGGCTTTCAGAAGATATCAGCGTCAAACAGCTACAGACGAATGGTAGATATGGCTTACAATTCGAGGTTTGGCGGAACCCATGCAGGTTGAATAGGCGAGATATCAGTACCTACAACTTTTGCGCCTGGGAATTGATCGGCAAAGTCACTTCCGGGTTTCAATATCAGAATGTGCTCTCTACCAGTTGAGCTCGTCTTATACGTACATGGCCCAGATACCTAGATTCTATTCGTCAGTATTGGCTCAAGGTTCACATTAAGATGATTGTCCTACCTGTCCCGGTTCCAATATCTAGAGCTGACTAACAGGTGTGAGTTTCCGAGCGACCAAAGATCAGGTATTCACAAACCTGTATATTATCTTTCAAGGGTGACAAAAATAGTCTGTCATCGAGCAGAAGACTCAAAAAGTGATGTCTCGCAATTTTAGTGGACGAGAATGAGACCTCGGACGAGGGAAAACTCACACTATATCCATAGACTCATTTTGCTGTTCGTCATTGGCAGCCCTGGCGACATGACATTAGCGCCTGTAGTCGTGAGGACAACTTCCACGGAAATACCAGTATTGAGCATTTCCTCTCTCCGAGTGAAAGGTTCGACCTTGAATGGTTCGATAGGACAGAATACTCGAAGTCATTGATGCTGTCGACTCGGCGGGATTGGAGATGATAGAGTCGGCGTCATTATTATCGGCCTCCTCTTGCTACAACGTGTCAACGATATGTTACTAAAAGTCCAACAGGGCCTGCCATACCTCATTTAATTGCTCCCAGTGTGTGACTGGATGCAGAGGTTGATCTGTCGTGGATTCATCACCCCCAGTCACCGTAGCAGTAGTTTCGTCCGCTGCCATTATCAAAATCGCGTAAAGGCCAAGAAAAGTAAGTCAATTTCGCAATTAATGAAGCATCGATAAATGCCGCAAGAGGAGATGTGTCTGGGGAGGGTTTCTACCCCTGGTCATTCTGTTGGCTCGCTTCTGACAGCTTCATGATATGATTCGGCGTACGCGTCCCAACACCATCGGGGAATCCATGTGAATCAGCCCCGGATTAGTAATAAAATACGACTTGAAGTGCAATTATTGGTTAGAACCTAAGTTACTGATGGGATTGAGGCCATGAGTAGTTCGTCAGCCGTGTATTGAGTGATAAATGTGACAACGCACCAATTGACTGTATCGCCGCTTATGCAATAAACAATATAAAGCGGTAGACAAATTATGATCGATGTGTAGCAAAATATGTTTTGAGTTACATGTACAGCTGCCAATGATATATGGGCCTGTGAAAGTATAATATCATAATGAGACCAACAAGGTTTTACTGATAGAGATTCACAGGGTTTTCAGTTATCGAGAAAATTTCAGTTGTATTATATAAAAGAAAGATTTCCACCTTATTTCCAGAGCTTTAATCGTTGCATTCAATTTTCCCATCTTCATCATGGAGTCTTCCGAGCCGTCCTCCGGAGAATCGTCCGCCCAACACCCAAGCCTCTTGAATCCTGTAACGACAAAGTCGAATCTGACCTTTCATTTGTTCCCACAACTCCCCAAAGAAATCAGGGAAATGATTTGGACGCAGAGTGTCACCTGTGAGCGTTATATAGTGGTCGAGCTTCGGGGCATAGAAGCACAATCTGGCCAATTCTGTCTACAAGAATCACCGCCCGGCGGCCCACCTGTCGATGAAGAGTACAGATTAGTACTCGTCAATCCCCCGAAGCCTAGTGCTATTTTCGGTACCAGTACCGAATCTCGTGCAAGCGCTTGTCGATTCTATAGGGTGCATCTTCCTTGCTACCACTTGAGGCGATCACAATCACCCGCACCAGGAACGTTTTGGTTCAACCCTGAACTAGACACTCTGGAGATTGAAGGATTAGAGAACTTTACAAACTTTGCAAATGACTTTTGGCGCCATGACTGCCAAAAGGCAGGACTACGCAATGTATGTTTCGATATCGACATTAGTATCGAGAATCTCTCCTTTGATGACTTTTACAAACTTGCTGCTTCCACCGACCAGTTTCGTCAAGCTATCAGCCGACTTGAGCATGTCACCTTTATCTGGTACACCCATATACATAGGACAACCTTGATTTTTCTCCCTCGCCACCCGTTCCAATCTCAACATCTCTGTTCACTTCCTGTTGCAGGGGCTACCGGTAGCTTCTCAAGGCAGCAAGATCCGCGTCCTATCGATGATGTCGTACTCAATAATGCCTTTATGCCTCTCTTTCTTTTTCTTGAGGGACGCGCTAAGGACTGGATGAACGGGCTTCAGCGATTAAGAGCGACAAGGCCATGTGTCTTCAGATTCGCATATGCAACCAGCGCACTTCGTACGCGATATATTATAGATGGAGCGGGCGCTATGGAGTACCTCAAGGACGAAGAGGAAAGGTGGCGAAAGTGTTTTGAAATCTCAACTAGGTTACTCTCTAGAGAATCGCAACCCATGAACGAGGTCCCCAAGCAGCTTGAACACCAACTTCAAACTGCATTTGGGTTTTGGACCGTTCCCCTCGAGTCTCATAGTCCAGTTGCTAAGGACTATTCACACCAACCAGTCTTCCCGAAAACCTACCAACCAGAGCTATGCTTATTTCATTTATGAACCTCGCATCTTTAAGCTTACAAGAATTATATAGAGACCTCTTAAGTGGCTGGTATTCAATTATGAGCTCGTCACCCTACCTTGGCATAGAACCTTCGATTCATTGTCATTTGCTATCTCATATAAAGTCATAGATATGCCGCGCAACTTCTGCTACAATACAAGAAAACTGTGCCCATTTCTCCAGGCGACGTGATAAGTGATCTCAAGGCCTCTTGAAACTTCCCCAGAATTTCCTCAATCTATATGGAGCGGTCTGCCATATGAAGCAAGAAAGTGTTCCAGGGCTCTATCAAGCTTCAGGCTTCTGACCGTACACAATCCTTTGTCTGAAATACGGATGATGTTGACCTGATCGGGTCTCTCGTCGGAGCTGGGTGCACAGAGCTCTGACCTGAGCCTCTGTCCACCCCAAAAGCTCGCACGCCAGGAACAAGATATACCCTTCATAGTCTCGCTCCAGAGCTGCCTGCATATACTGTCCAACCTGCTTGAGCCGTTCTTCGGTATGCCAGGGTCCAAGTGGTGCCTGTTGCGAGACTGTTAGACCGATCCACAAAGTTGGGCCGAAGTATGAAATTACCTTGAGGTCCACGACATGGATGTTGACAAATCCCGCTTCTTCCATCGACTTCCTCTGCACGTCCTCTCGGATCATTGCAAAGCTTCTTCCTGCGCGTTGGCCGCCTTCTTCGAATACTTCACCCCAGCGTTTCATAGCGCTTCCATCTGGGATAGAATTATCGTCACTCTCCATAGTGGATGATACTTCGTAGCTCTCAACCCACCCACCGGGGGCGCAAACTCTGAAAGATTCTCTGAAAGTGGCAGTCCAATCAGTGATACTCCCCAGCATGAATCTCATATGGATGAAGTCAAAGGAGTCGGGTTGGAAGGTCCAGGTATCGTTGCAGTCCTCGATTTCGCTACCAAATGGTGAGCTTCTATGCTATTATAGGCATTGGAGAAACTTACAGCTGTAGATTCGATGGCATCCAGGTTGGCTGAATAGGGCTGATCTCAGTGCCCACGACCTCGACATGAGGATGCTCGTCGGCAAAATCACTTTATCGTGATCAGTCTCGTCCAATTTCCCATCCAATCGTTACTTACATGGCCCAGATAGCTATGAATGTGTTAGAATTAGATAATAGAGTCGATCCAGGGGCGCCCTACCTGTTCCCGTTCCAATGTCAAGCACTCTCTGTCAAGGCCATTATCAGCAAACGAGACCCGATACGCCAGGATTGGCGGGACTAACACGGATATCTGGCTTGAGGGGTGCCAGATGGAGTTTATCTTCCAGCAGAAGGAGGGTAAAATGATGTCTTGCTACTGTTAGATGCCCTCATCATAGTTCACAGGGTCGTTCACTTACGCAAGGTCCAAAGATTGACTAGCCTGGTCATCATTTGATGCCCTGGGCCTCGTTAGGATTGATACATACTAAGCTGAAGTGCGTATACCAGTATTGAGCTGTGCCTCTATCCGAATGGTAGGTCCTTCCATGTAAGGTTCGGTATTCAAAGATACTTGAGCTCAGAGAATAAGTCGAGTCAGCTGCATTGGATCCCAGGGCTGAATCCAGGTCTGAATCACTGTGACCGTCAAAGCCCTCGTCAGTTTCGGCATCATCATGCTCTGGATCTTGATTCTGGTCACTCAAGTCAGTGAATATGTCCAAACTCTTCGCACGGGTCTCGGACCTCTTGGCCCTGCTGGAGGTTCTGTAAGACCTCCCACGCTGGCGTTGGAGCGGGCGGCAGAGTCAATCCAGGCGTTTCTGTAGGTTCGCTAGCCATTGTATCGCGATATCTCTTTGATGAGGCTTCAGAAGTAATGATAGTGCTGCGGAATTGTGGTCAAAGAGGGGGTTTTATCAATTCACTTAGTACTGATTACGACACTGGCTGCTTTATTCCCCCAGTAGCGCGGCACGTTCGGTTGCAACGCCAATATTGATTGTGCTAGGCGCAAAAGGCGAAGTGCTGCGGTGTGGCGGTGCCGATTAAACCTATTGGAGGAAGTTTGGGGCCAACATTCCAGGTGCTCGGACACTGGATCGTCATCTTAGTGGCTCGGTAGTGCCTGTTCCCACGCGAGCTATCAATTTCGTTATAGCCGGGCGCATTCCGCGGGCAGCCTCATTGAGTGAAAACGCGAGAATCCCACAGAGCCGAGCCAATCGAGAGCTGGTGATATGAAAGCAAAGGCTGCCATCTTTTCCGCCTGAGACAGAAAAGAGGCTGTGTTGGGTGACAGGGGAACAATACGACTGTCATAAGACGTGTCCGTTATATCCGTGTAGACGGGATTTGCAGTCTGTGCATGCCGGTAGTAATCAATATCCCGTTACATCCGGCCGATCTGAATTACATATGTCCATCAAACCGACGCCAGGGTTTTGAGGCCGCGGAGTGCGATATCCTCCGTCATGTGGAGAATGATGAGTCGCGAGATAAGGCGATTACTAACGAGATGTCCATCATTAATATATAATCGGTATCTTCGGATCAGTATCTGGATGACACGTAATTGATCCTCAACTGAATTGCTTTTTAGGGCGTCGGAAGGTCCAGTATCATTGCGATGGGGATTAAAAATAGCCCAAGATGCCAGGTTCATTTAATGATTACCTTTAACCTGCCCAAAACTTTATCTCACCGATGAGCAAAATCCTGCGTTTTCCAGGATCCCTTTACTAACTGTTCATTCACGAACTGCCGAACCGTGAGTGAAATTTAGGACACCCGCGATCCGACAAATTGAACGTCACCGAGCGGAATGTGTACGCTAAGGGCATCAAAGAAGAATAGTTGATAATCTGACTGTCTTTAGTAATCCATGACAGGTAGAAAGTTTATTGTGGGAGTCCTCTATTGAACCCAATTGCCATTATTTGCAATCAAATTAGGCGCTCCACGGAGGTTTCCAGAAATCTTCTTGGGAGTCGCCAATTCCTTCAGCCAAGCCGTGATATCGGCAACTCCCTCGACCTCCTCCACGCTCATTGCATACAAGACCAAACCCGCAACATGAGGAGCAGCCATGGAAGTTCCATCCTCGGTGAAGGTGTAAGTGTTGGACTTATGGCCAGCTGAAGTGATGCCTACTCCAGGGGCCAAGATGTCGACAGTCTTTCCCCAGTTGGAGAAATCAGCAACAGCCCAGTTGGAGTCGATCGCTCCGACAGTGATTGCGGTCGATGCAGAACCGGGCGACTCCTTGGCGGCATCTATAGCATCGTTACCGGAAGCGACAACTGTGACGACGCCTTTCTTGGATGCGGTGTCAACAGCTTTGTTGAAGGCTGTGGACTTTTCGCCGCCGAGAGACATGTTGATAACGGCTCTCCATGTGCGATCTTTCTTGATGATATCGTTGACGGCCCAGTTGAAAGCGTCAAGAACAATAGACGTATCAGACTCATCACCGTTGAAGACCTTGAGAGCGAGAATGTTGGCCTTCTTGGCAACACCATAGGTCTTACCAGCAATAGTACCCGCAACATGGGTTCCGTGACCATCGTCGTCCTTATTATTGCCCTTCCAGTTTGTCCAGGCAGCTTTTGCACGACCACCGAACTCGTTGTGAGTCACCCTGACACCACCGTCGATGACATAGGCATACATGTCAGTGCCAGCGTAGTCATCGTAGATATACTCCTTGTAGCCCTTCTTGCGATGAGAGATCGTTCCGAGACCCCAGGTGGACTTCTTCTGGGTGATCTCATCTCTCTTCCCGAGGCTTCGCTTGCTCTTGATGCGATTGAGCTTCCATACACGGTTGGGCTCAACGGCCAGGACCTTGAGGAACTAGTTAGCTTGTGCAACTAATAACGGAAGGTGTTAGGCTTACATCTGGGCTTTTCTTGATCTCCTTGATAGTCGCCGTGTCGAATGATCCAGCATATCCCTGGAAGCCAGACTTGCTGTCATAAGTCTTTTCGACACCAAGTTCAGTCTCGCGCTTGGTGAGACTTCTCTTGTGAACGTTTTTGACCCATTTTAAATGGGTCTTGGCCATGGCAGCATCAACCTCGGGTTTCAAGGTGATGATGTAGCTGCCTGGGATGATAGCACCGGCCTCGGCAGCTGGGGCAGCTGGTGCAGGGACAGCAAGTCCACATCCAAGAAGGACGCTTACTGCAAGAGCGATGTTTTTGAGATTCACCATAATGAAGAAGAATGCTGAAATATGGCGATGCTTTCTTGGAAGCAATTTTGAAGGATCAACGGCGGGTCATATATACCCGCCCTTAGATACTGCTCTACATATTTAATATTAAAACCGTCACTGGGACTTCTCTTCAGCCCAAGCTCCCCTGCAAATAGTGCAAACGAGATGGCGCACCGCCTTAGCTGATTGCGATCTACATGTGCATCCCCACCCGTTCCTGGCCGTTCCTGAGCATGCTTAATTTTTAGCTATTGGCCCTAGATCCGAAAATGTCCCCTAAAAGCGAACAGTGGCTGGTCTAGATGTGGCTGGACTTGTGTTAGGGGACCTCGAATTCCAGAGCTGTGGGTGACTATTTTTTCTTTGGGTATGCTAATTCGCAGCTGAACTCCCTTTCCGGAAAGAAATCGATCTAGCTTAGAACTCTGAAATCAATAGACAGAAAATCGAACGCGGTTTGTTTCACTTTTTCGAAGGGTTATGGTGCACGTGGGGCCGAGTGACAATGCGAGGGATGAAGAAGGGAGAACATGGCATTGTGTCCTTTTATGTACCGGCCATGACAATGGCATTCTTCTGTGACATCTTTATAAAATACAAAGACGAGGGTATTGGAAACCGGTTGAATGCCATAAAAGCTCGTTCTTGACCTGTTCCCGGGTAAAAGTTTTTGAGCCTCGGTGTTTTCTAAGACAACTTTTCCACGCCAAAAACCGGATTGGCTCAAATTTTGTAGCTTTCAGTCTATATATTGGATCACCTGAGAAACATGAAGTATTGTGCTATCTTCCTAGTGTATCTGATGAATATTTCTATTTATTGGCTGAGCGCCTTGTAGGATCTACCGTATGATCGCTATCTAATACACACGCTGCGCTGTGCCCCCCTGCGCTAGCCTACCGATTCACATCTTGGCTGGCTGAAGCCCTAGTGGATCTTGTGTGGCTTGCTCTGTGATCTTTGGTTCGTAGAGTTAGACCTTAGGAATTAGTCTTGTTCTTTTTGTAGACCATGGTCCAGACCAGCAAAGACATCCTACCTACGTTTTGCAACATTATAATGCCTCAAATGACGGCAATGGGCCTCTAAAAAGCCATAGAGAAATAACAAGACTAGGCAACAATGCCCCGAGAAATGTCTTCAACTCTGGAGTAACATTGTGTTGCTTTGCTTTCGCGACTTTCGTAGACAAGTCACTCATCAAGAGTCTTTTGGCTTGGAGCCAGAAGCATTTCATAAATCCCATGGTCAACTGCAGGTCCCAAGTCGGTTGTGGCTTGAGACTTTCGATAGCGCGGGTTTCTGGAGGGGAGATGACCACTACATTCCAGACCTAGGTGACTCCGAGGCTGCCTTGGATTCCCAAGAATGGCCTGCTAGTTTAGTGAATCAAGAGCTGCCGTTCCTTAAATGTTATGAAGACCGAACAACATTGGTCAACGAAGTTCTGGTATGTGATAGCCCTCAAGGCTGAAGCATGGAGCGGACAGCCATATCAACTTGATCAACTGCCTGGAAGAGGGGGTGGATCACAAAATGCCATCGTAGGCCCAGCTCTACAGCCAAAATGGCGCTGGAAAGCCCTCTTTGTAATCGAGACCGAAGTCGAATGTTTTAGTCCGACATCAGGAGTCTTGATGGAGGTGATGGAGCTACGCGCCAGCTTTTAGGTGAGGTCGGCTGAGATTTAAGCTTATTAAGCTTGTTCAAGAGCTCCCCTCGCAGACTAAGATCTTGTAATACAACCCCTTAATGGCTAAACTAAATCTAATGTATAGTGTGTATTCATTTCGGCTGCTAGATGCGTGGCTTTCCTGTATTACTATAGACTAGTTATGAATGGTGCTTCTAGGTGTTGAAAGGATACTTCAAACCTAGGGAGCCTGACCATACAAGTTGCTATACTCAGGCGTTACGCGGTATCTCAAGCTTTGTTAGGGCCAAGCTCGCCGAAATAAGAATTTGAAGAGTTTCGTGTAAATTTTCACTCTGTAACTCATGGGCTCGTTGAATATTACTTTGCTAAGCTGAAAAGCACATTGGGAGTATTAAAGATGGCTTGTCGGAACCTGGCTCCCAACCATGATATGATCCATCAGAGTTTCAGCAGCTCCCTGAGGTGACCAACTCTTCATTCGATCGTCATTTAACAAGTACGCCTTGGGAAACCCAGGAACATCAGTCTCTCCGAGCACCATCCTCGCAATAGCTTCACCAGTAAGCCAGCACTTATCCATGCCGTGACCATTGAACCCCGCTGCAATCCACTCGCCACCTCCACTTCGACCCGTGAGGTTATGCGGAAGCTTTCCCACGATGGGCATACCGTCTGCCGTGAATCCCATTATTCCGGACCAGACATTCAGGGCTTCTACCGGTGCTGTATCTTTCCAGATCTCGGGTGCTGCAGAAGTCAATGTTTGGCGAGCATCGTCTGCAACATTTGAATCGTCGCTTGTAAGAAGACCCTTGAGGCTCTGAGATTCGCCGCCGAGGAACATTACCCCAGTTTTCGCATTCTGCTGAGCGTAGTATAGGCCCAGATGAATATGTCCAGTCTTTGCGTCATATGTGCCAAGAGAGACTTGCGACCAAGACATGCTGTGGCCGGCTCGCGGAAAGTTGGGGCCCAGCTTCTGTGTAGACATAGTTCCCCGTAATGGATACAGGTTGCCAACAAGACCAGGGATCAGATGACTTGAGTACCCATTAGTGCAATGGATGACATGTCTAGCTCGAATTGATCCTCTTGAGGTGCGCACTAGGTACGGAAATTCCAAAACATCGTCTTGAACTTGCACTGAGAGGACGGGCGTGTTCGTCTGGAGCGAGAAGCGGTCCGAGAACTGTTTTGTGAGGGAGGCCAAGACTGCGGTTAGAAGTCGATACGGCCACAAGGCTGCGACTCCAGTTTGCGCAACTGCGCCGACGACATTCGTAAAATTAAAGACCTGGTACAGGTAGTCAGTAGGTGGTGCATGAACGAACGTTCCTCAACCTAGGTACCTTGGCCGCCTCCTCTCTATTGTATACTTTGAACTTGATATCACTGTCAGGCACCGCTTTGAGCAGTTGCTTGACTTCTTCAATAGCGCCTCGAAATGAACTCTGATCAGTATAGGACGTTGCTGATGTCACCTCGCGAAATTCCACCGCTTCTCTATCCTCAGGATCCAACTGAGCGATAAGTTCCTTCAGGCGGCGAATGTTGGCATCGCTGAACCGCACAGTCTCTATCGCACGCTCAACACCAATCGTCTCGGCAAGAGCCGGAAACAAGGAATCACTATCAGAGACAAGATGTCCTCCGTTTCGTCCAGTCGCTCCGCTTACGGCTGTGCGGGCCTCAAGCATAGTTACCTTGAGATCAGTGCCTTTCGCATGGTTCAGGAGGGAGTGCGCCGCGCCAATGCCAGTGATGCCGGAACCAATGATGATGATATCGGTTTCTGAAGGCAAGGCAGGTGACTGTGCGCTTGCTACCGTTGGATGCGGTGGAGTCTGCCAGGCCGGGGTCGTTGGGTTTGTACTTGGTAGCCCAGACTGAACCGTGATGAGCTTCACGACATCCTGGATGAAGTCTGATACTGTGAGTCAGAGCGAACGATATGAGATGGACAGATGACCATAGACCTACCGCTTCCTGCCATTCTTGCCCACGAATGAGTGTTTGTTGTATTCTCAAGTCTCGTTATCAATGAAAATGTTACGCGCGGGGTAAAGCTTGCTCCTTGGTGTGACAAGATGGCTCAGAAGATGATTGTCCCGATCAATGTGAGGACTTGGAAAAATACAGCTCTCGAGATATAGTCAGCGAGCAAGAAAATTCTGTATTCTATTGCCTTGATATGGCCTTTCTCTTATCTGTCGCTTGGCATGATCCCTGAAAATGATCGGGGTCATCCCCCCTCCCTCGCACAGGCATGCTTCATTGGGTCTAGATCATCCATATCCCCCTTGCAACGACCCGATTGGCGGGGTATCCATCGTCACAGCGCTGGAGATGGCTTCACTCGGTTTCCTCAGTCTTCACTCCTGCCAATGGCGAGATACTTCAGCTCTGCATGACAGTTGGCTCAGCTACCCCCGATTGCGATCCCAAGCACTACCTATTCTTCCAAGTCACAAAGTTGCCTTGTTCATGGTATGTGTCCAGACACCTTGACGCATGTAGTGCTGTGTCCTTGCATACGGGACCCTCGGTCTCTGAGGCGGCATTCTCGGGATCCGTAAGACACAATCTACAAATCCCGCTTCTGAGCAACTTGAGGGGGATCGTTTCGCCGACGAAAGTCGCCCATACCGACAATCTACCGTGATTTCAGAATATTATCCTCATGTCGCTGTTCGTATCAGCCGGACTCGCTAGTGAACGGGGCTGGACGCTCCTCAGCCTGCTTAATCGAGTTAGTGGATCACCCAGCGTTCAACTGGCATCTCCAATACGACAAGACAATTGACCCTCTGTAATTGAAGTCTTGAAAGAAAAGGTAATTGTTATCAAGCCTATAAAAACTGCCTGGGGACTGTGTAGAAGTACTTTCTTACCAAAGAGCCTCATGTTCTAGTACCTCGTTTCTCTTCAACGAACTTTTCGTCAGCAAGTTGGTCAAACATGCCGGCCAGCAAGACCCCAATCGGTACTACAGAGCTCACAGTTCAGGGCCTTGGTGTTGTGAAGGGCCTGAGCTTCCCTAACAACATCCACCAATTCAGCGGCATCCCTTACGCATCGCTCTCCAAGCGTTGGACACGTTCACAAATCAGGACTTCATGGCCCAACGATTTTCACGATGGGACAAAACTGGGGTAATCATTTTCGAGTCTGGTCCAGAATTATTGCTAAATCTGTTCTATAGACCCAGTGCGCCGAACCCGCCAGAGTACAATACACCTGAAGATATCCTTGTCCCAGTTGACATTGCGCCCCATTTTGAAGAGCCAATTGAAGATGAGCTCAACTGCCTTGTCGTGAACATCACAACACCAAGACTGGGTTCTGACTCTGGTGCGAAGTTGCCCGTGATGGTTTATATCCATGGCGGATCTTTTCTTTTCGGCGGTGCCAATAAGGGCGTCTTTGATTGCGTCAACTTGACGACCTTTGCAGCAGCCCGCAACACGCCTGTTGTCACAGTCAACCTCAACTATCGTGTCGGCCTCGGCGGTTTTCTCGCATCAGCCGCGATCAAGCAAGATATAGAGCGCGGTGGTCTTGAAGGTGTGGGCAATTTTGGCCTTTACGATCAGCAGGTTGCCTTGCGTTGGGTGGAACGATACATCACCTCGTTTGGCGGTGATCCAGACAACGTTACCATTTTCGGCGAGTCTGCTGGCGGTATGAGTGTTTCTCACCACATTGCTGCTAAGGATCCAGCCCCCTTCCATCGCGCCATCGCTATGTCTGGTCATTTGAACACCATCCAGACTTGGCCATTGGAGCATCACGAAAAGCATTACCGCGCGTTGTTGAGATATCTTGGCATTGATGCGGACTCTCCTTCTGCCCTCGATCAGCTTCGAAGTATCCCTGAGGCTGTCGTAGCTGCTGCAACAATCCCAGTGGAGGGTCTCCTCAACGCCACAGGCAATCCATGCGATGATGGCGTTTTCCATAAGACAAAGCCTACCGCGAACGGTATTACTTCACCTCCCGCGTGGCTTAAGAGCTACATGGTCGGAGATACTACCGACGAAGCTATGATCTTCACTGAAGATCTTGCTGGGGAAACCTTTGACTCGTGGAGAGCTGGAATGAAGAAGTTCTTGAATGAAGAGGCTACTGATGAGATCCTTGATCTCTATGGTGTCACTCCTGATCTCTCGAAAGAGGAGCTCCTGAAAGCCCTGGAAGACATGACAGGCGATTCGGCCTTCAAGATCCACAACTGGCTCGCTGTTCACCGCTCAAATATTCCACAAACTTTCGGCTATCACTTCGACCAGGTGTGCACTCATGACAGTATATTCAAGGGTCAAGCTTATCATGCACTCGACCTGCTCTATGTCTTCCTCAATTTCGATGAGAGATTGACGCCAGGCCAGCAGAAGCTTGCAAGAACTATGGCTGGTAGTTTTATCGATTACTCCTATGGTAAAGATCCATGGCCTCGGTTCACTGATGGTGGTCGATGGATGAGGTTTGGGCCGGATGAGACTAGCAAAGTCGTCACGGAAGCTGAGGATGAGAACGTACGAAGATACACTCGTATGCAGAAGATTCTCGATATGGGTGTGCTGGGAGAGTTCATCCTGGCTATTGATAACATTGCTTGTAAAAGGGACAAGATGGGGACTTTCGATGACGGACCTCGCCAGTTTAGTGAGGATATAAAGGCAGAACCGGTAGTCCCTGGTGCTATCGGAATCAAGGAAGCAGTCTTAGCTTAGATGAAACTATAGTGACCGATTTATGTGATCTCTTCGTTCATCACTCTGGTATCTTGACCTTTATTCGCTTTTTCTGTTAAGGTTCATCGACGTATGTTGGGCCAGCGTAGATATGAATGAATTATTAGGTTTGGGCTCTGAAACGCTTTTATTATGGCTTATCAAGCTTCAATAAAGATGAATCTCAGCATTCAGCTCCGCCGTAGCCTCAGTAGCTATCATCAATTTGGACGCTTCATTTCCGTCTTTGCCATTCTTCCAAACCTTTGCCACTATATCCATGATTATCTTCTCAGTGCCCTCCTGCCCTTTTTGCATTATGTATTGGAAGGCCACTCGAGTCAGTTGCTGTTCTTGGGCGTTTTCTGCCAAAATACCAGCTATGAAAAGAGGATATAATATGGCCCTGGCGAGCGAGAGTCGAAAGTTGAACGTGCCGATTCCGATAATTGCTTGGATCGATGCAAACACCTTCATGCGTAATATTTCGGTGCTGACATTGGCTCTTGGTGGCGTTGTTTGATCTTGTTGATGATCAGCCAGACAACGGCTGTGAAGAATACCTGCAAGTCGGAACGCTTCCCAAAGGTGGATCTGTGCGAACTCATCCCCAAGTTCTCCAGGCCACTGCAGCAGATCTTGTTCGATAGTAGTAGAGTCCATGTTTGCTAGCAGGTTCATTAGACTATAAGGTATCCCTGAAGTTTGCTCAATACCAGAGTGTTTGTGAGGTTGGACATAGGATTTCCATATTTCCAGTGATGGTGTAATTCTATTCAGAGTGAAGAACGGTATATCTAGAAGACCAACAGCTTCGAGGAGGTGGTTTGCCACGGGGGGTCGCTGTGGGTCGTCTAGCAGCTCACGCGCTTGAAGAACTCCGTGGAGGCCTTTCAGCAGCGGCGACCAGATATATAGTGAGTTTATCTACTAGTTTCAGTGTAGCCCTGGCATGTATATAAGATTTCTACTTACGCTGACGCTGCATAACAGAACCCCGGTTGCCAAAGTCACATCTTGGCGCAACATGCTTGGATTTTCCAAGTCGTTAAGATAGTTTGAAAGAGCCGATTGCATGTACAGAGGTGTCAAGTGGCTCGTATCGATATCAAGACTTGCTTGGTACGCTAAGCAAGCGTGCTTAAGGGAGATACTTTCTTCGCAAAGTGGTAAAATGTCAGACTTGAACATGGTATCATGTCCGGCACGACCTGTGATCGTCTGGTATCCGATAGTGGTAACTACACACGGGTTAGATGGCCACAATACATCAGTTTATTTGCTTACAACTGTCCATGAGCTTTTGTGAGACTTCCTCGTCTGGCAAGCCCTCGGAGAATGATTCAAATTGCAGACATAGCAGGTCCAGATCATCCGGCGACTGTATCGAGGAGAAGTCCGGCAAATTCACCAACTCGTCAACCACGCTCTCAACGACAGGGCTTATTCTACTATCACGTAAAGATTTACCCTTCTGGCGTGGCGGACGAACTGGTTTCAAGACTATACCACCCCCTGCTGAGCTTGCCACGTCGGAAGAACCCCATGTCAATCGTGTCTTGTAGCCCTCGCAGGTCTTGCCCGCTTGGACACACCTTTCACAGACGGGCCGTTTCTCGTCACATTTTTTGTGTCTTCTCTTACAGGTCCAGCAACTGGAAACTCTTAGTATAAGATATCGCCGCTGCTACCAACAAGTTACTTACCCGCGTCGCGACCGTGAGCTCATAGGTGTTTGAGCCAAACGCGAAACGTGTGGGGGCTGCAACGCGACGTGGATGAATTATATCGTGGTAAAGCAGACTTCGACAAAAGAATGACATCCATTATCATCAAACCTTTTCCAAAATCTTATCAATGTGAGGGGTGATACCTCGGTCCGAGATAGCTCGTCGCCACGAGCCAAAGATCAAGATTAGGAGGGGAATTGTAGAGACCTGAAATAGACTAGCGTCGAGATACTTGCACCATTTGAAAGCGATACAGCTTTGGTCGAAATGATAAGGAATACGCTAACTTGAGGTCGCTTAGCGTGTGCACAATAGCTGCATAAACGGTTCATCTGCTACATAACTTTCACCTCTCATAAGTCATTTCAAGGATACGTTCAACTATTGAAACAAGAAACAAACGAAGCCTGTGAGACCTTTTCTCTATAGATCGTCTCTCGCGCTAGTTCTTGAGTGTTGATGTATCTCTGATCATGTAAAATAAAGTCGTTGGTGGCATTGCGTCCTCCTCGTCGACCAATTCCGCCTCTTCAACAACCTCAAAGCCATACTTGGCGTAAAACGCCACATTTTTCTTGTCAGTACACTCAATATAACATGGATCGTCTCCTAGCTCCTGCACTACCCATTGCATGATCGTTCTCCCAACTCCCATTCCTTGCGCATCAGGTCTGACCGCAGCGATTTCGAGGTAGTAAAGAGAATTTGGTGGATACTTCTCCTTGATTCTCTGCTCGAAATCGTTGTGAGAATCCGTCATGATCCCGATCCTCTGTAAAGGCCTGTTAGATGTGCTATTACTCGCTTGTTCGACTTATATCACCTTTTCTAAAGAGAACGGTTCCGTTGGTTTGACCCACCACACGTCCCATAGAACTCCTGAGTAGGATGGCCACCACAATGGATTCAGCCATCGATACAGTGGCTTGGGAGGGAACAAAAAACATAATCCAATGCTTTTGTGAGAACCATCCATTGTAACGGCTTCCATAGCGATTCCACGCACGGAATACTCGCGCAGGCGTGCCTCTTGCCATTGCTGCAGGGTAGGTGTCAGGGTCTCCCAGCCGGGACCAGAGCGATCGCGAGAGAGCCAACGGATCAGGGGATCTGAGGCGAAAGAAAGGCTGATGATCTCAGCAGCCGTCTTTATTGATCCATAGCCTGGAAGATTTAGTGAGAACTAAAAGAGAAACCAATGAACATACCCAGCCCAAGTGGCCTCATCTGGACTTTACACGGATTCTTCGTCAGTTTCGACATCATGACCCGGAATACTGATGATGAGAGCAATGGTAACTACTGCGCGACTGTCTTATCTGTGTTTTCTTCCTCAAAGACTACGAGCGATGGACAAGCTGGCTATCGTATTGTCGGAGCCCGTGAAACCCGTCACTGTCTCGTTTTAGTGCGAAGTCCAGGGACAAGGTCTGGAACCTCAATCTGCGCGGCACCAGCTGCTTAAAGCGGCAAAGATCAACAATCAATCTGCGCTACACCCAGAAAAGCATGCAGTGCCGCGCGGGATTGATTGCCCTAAATGTCACCAGGCGAGTTTTGATGATCTCGAGCATCATCGTGTAAAGTAACGCGTAGCTATATAAACAAGGCTAACAGATCCGACGGCTTAGACATAGCACTAAAAGGTATAGAGGCATCCAATAGACTCCTATCGTTTAGGTTGAAGCAATGTCGCAGCCATCTCAAACTACACAGCCAAGCCCTGGTAACCAGCTGTACCCCGACATGCCGGCAATGAGGGCGCCGGGGTTAGAGTTTGTGTATCGCCTTGTCGCCAAAATGCACCCAACCAATGGCTACGATATCGAGAACATACAAGGCACAGGTATAACGAGGTCGATTGCAGGTATCGAGTCTGGGACTGTAAAGGGACCAGGCATAGAGGGCACCCTTGTCGAGAACAGTGGTGCTGATTGGGCAGAACAAGTTCATTCCAAGAAGGTTAGCAGCGCCTCAACTGCCTACACGCGTCGCTGCATTGTGTGTTGACAGAAAGAAACAGATCTACTATAAGCTAGACGCGAGGTACACGATCAAAACAAATGATGGTCATCACATTTTTGTGCAGGCTCGTGGGCTGTTCCGCCCTGGGCCGGGTATCGAGTTCTCCCAACCAGACTCAATCGACGTGGATTATACGCAGGATGAGGTGGAATACTTTACTCATATCACATTTGAAGCAGCAGGAAATAGTCCGTACAACTGGATGAATGGTATCGTGGCCATCGGAGTTTTGCAGTCGTTCGGAGGAGCTGCTGTAATTGATTGCTGGCGGTTGACCAACTTCCTTGGACAGCAGGTTGAAGATGTTTACGTAGGCAGATAAACAATTGATATGGTCCATTCAATGACGTCTCATCCATCAAGCGATTTGTTCCATGTAGAGAGCCTAGGTCCAACTATGGTATGCGCTCAAGTATGCAATGGCCAAAAGTCGATACAGGTCAAGATTGCTGCCGAATTCTCCCCAAGTTACACAACCTTAGCCTAGACTGTCCCCGTATCCCCCGCATTTCGGACAACGATCCCGGCTGCTAGGAGAGAGTTGAACGATAAGACTAACTGTATAAGGTAGGCGGAGCCCCAGCGCAATCGATCTTCTCGCTGACTCGCAGGAGGTTCCTATCACAACTAGCCATCCCAACACGGAGATAGACACTTACATAAAACCCCTGGACCAGTTGCTATCATGAACTCACAAATTCCCACTGCTCAACTCGCTCAAGAAACATCTCTCTAGCAATATTATCCTCGTGTTCAGCATGCCCCGAAAAGTAGCACCAGCTCCGCCAGACTTCACGACACCGCCGGGTACGGTGCGGTTGATTGGTGGTGAGTGAACGAATACTGGTCTTCGTTCACAGGCTCATATTCTTTGTAGAGGATGGCATTGCCGAAACGCCTCAATTGGTGAAGCAGCCGATGCCGACTGATGACCCCAACGACCCTCTGGTATGAATGCGCCAAACACGATGCGATTGCGTTGACTGACTTTCCTAGAACTGGTCGCGTGCTCGGAAATCCATGAACTTTATCCCCATTCTCGCGGTCACGGTAATCATCTTTACTCAGTGAGCTACCATGCCTTTCGACCAAGCCATGAGCCACTAATCATGACAGAACTTCCTTACCACTGATCTTCTGGGTGCTTTGGAACCAAGAGTTCGGATGGTCGTACGGCCAGCTCAACAACGCTAACGCCCTGAACTATGTCGGAACCACTGTTGGCTGTATCCTCTTTATCCCTCC